AAACAATATTCGTTTAACAAGATTGATACTCTTTATTCTCTCCCACACACACTAACTGCAGCAGATTCACCAGTCGCCCCACTTTCCATCCATGTAACATCCAATATATTTCAGAACATTACTTTTTCAAACGAGAAATACAACGAACACTACAAAAATGACAGCATCATCCGCTTAATAATGAATTACTACATTGACATTTCATGGTGAATTACTTTCTATTTACTTTCTATTTTCTTACAATAGACACAATGTCAGTGGCTAATTTAGTCAATAACTTTGATTCAGTCCCAGATAGCCAGACTAATGTTACGCTACATAGGATACTATAGGATACATTGGTGTATTTATGGATTTCCTTTGTTAGTTCATCCACTGACTGGGAAATTACCTGTGGAATGTCTTCCCTCAGCCGGCAAAATGCTAAACATGTTGGCATTTTTTCTGCATGTCTCCGTGGGAGTGGGGAGTACCAGCATGGTACACGGTGGCTTCACTTTTTTCGGCCAATCAGCAATCAGGTAAATGAATAGAGATCAGTGGTTTCCTGAGAATATTCAGGTAGATAAGATCGATTACCTTCAGAAGCACTTCATATTAAAGGTATAATGAAGGATTTTCTCGAATTTTTGAAAAGACTCGCCATCTCCACTTTAAAAAAATTGCATGTGCATAATCATGTATCTGCTCCCGAGAGGGAACGCCTATTAAACTTGTGCAAGGACGTGCAGGAGCCCATCTTTCCATGTGCATGCTCTGTTTAAAAGTTGCTATTTGCATCGCTCATACAAGCTTACTTTCTTAACATTCAAAGTAGACATTATATGTCATAAGTTACTGTAGCCCACTTAGAAAAGTGTAATTAAGACCTTGAAAGAACCAAGTACATTTATCCCATTAAAACATGTTATCTAAGTGGGCTAACATGAGCTAATCCTTTATTTATCCACAATGTGCAGTTTTATAGAATTAAAGCAACAGGCAAGTACACACAATGCAAACACAATTACATAAGGATTTAATATAAGTGGCAGATAAGGAAAAAAATGAAAACCAATGGAATCAGGTCATGTTTCCCCTGTACACTAAAACTCCATCACTGATTCTTTTACCTGATTTAAAATAAAATTCTCAATTTTAAACAATTCTTGTTATTCTCATAAAATATCTCTTGATTTTAGAAATGATGGCAGAACATAAAGGCCGCTTCTTCGAGGAGCCCAAGAATAAGAAGTGTCCTCGCTGCTCTGTTTCAGGCCAAACTACCCTGGGAATTTACACATGCTATAGTGTTAGCTGTA